TATGGTGTTAACTCATAAAACATCCATAGATATGCAACTCCTGAAGATGATCTTAGATGAGATTGGGAAAATAAAATTATTTCAAAGAAAATTTTGTTATTTTTCTTAATTAGTTTTCTACAGCCACCAAGAAATGAATTCGTGGACTTGAAATGATTAAAACTAAAATAAGTAAACATAATACGTCTAATTTAACCAAATATGCTTGAATATATATATATATATATATATATATATATATATATATATATATATAGAGAGAGAGAGAGAGAGAGATAGGTAACTCCATGAGATCGATAAAAAAGAGCATAGCATGATGAAAAAGACGCCAAACTTGACGAAAACAAAATTTTATCGTTTAAATGTTTATGTTATGAAGAGGAAAGACCAAAGTTTTTTTAAATTATTTTTAAAAAATTTTCTTTCTTTTTAGAAAATTCTAAATTTTGATTAAAAAACCTTGATTCCCTTTGTATCACCGGAACTAGTAAAATAACATATACAATTTTTATCGCGTTTTTTTTTTTTTTTTTTTTGTATGACACACATCAATTTGGAAAATCTTGAAAAAATAAAAATAATTGTCGGATGTCAATGAAACTTTCAGAAACTATTCATAGATGGAAATTATTATAAATGGCAGAAATATTTTTTTTATATTTATTATCCCCGCCATAACTAATTTTATGAAAACTCTAGAAATTCGATCGAATCCAGTTTAGTGATTGCAATAGTTAAAAGCACAAGGCTTTGAGGAATGCAAATCATATTTTGTTTTTTTTTTAATTGGATCCCCCCACACACACACACACACCTGAAAATCAGCTCTGAATTGTAACATACAAAACTCAATAAAACAAAGATATTATTTAATTTCAAATGCTTTTATTTGCTTTTAGTTGTTTTTATGAATATGGACAATATTTTCTGAAAGCAAAAAATTTTTCGATGAAAAATGAATTATCAATACAATTATTTGTATTTCTTTAATTATAATAGATTTTTACATCTCAGTTATGACATTTTTCCATTGATGAAATATCAAAATTAATAATAAAATGAATGGAAATACAAATAACACAGCAAAATGTAATAAATGTACATAAAATTATAGTATTTTATGTACACTTCTGATAAAATTTCATAAGAAAGGTACCTAGAAATTAATTAGATACTTTTCTATTGAAATTTAATCTCACTCTTTACAGTCTTATTTTAATGTGTTTATAATATATTTTCCATAAAGTATCGTACACGTAAAGGTGAAAGCTAAGTACAAAAAAAAATTAGAGCGCTGAAAGGTTTCCTTAAAAATAACGAGGTAAATAATTTGTTCACTTAAATGTAAATAACTTCACTTTTCTCCTTCCGTAAACAAATTATCCTCACGTAATCCGTCAATACGTCATTCATCACCTGTCAAGTGACGCGAAAGGTTATGACCTGCCTTGTTTTATTTTCACATTAGATCTTTTCGGTGCAGAAGCTAATTTAAGCTGGGTTCAAAATATTTTAAATAAACATTATAATTTCTGATTTTCTTAAAATAAGTTTTGAAAAAATGATAATAGATTTTTAAAAGAATTTCAAACTGAGATTTTCATTTTTTTTTATAAAGTGGAAAAATTTTGCGATGATTGATTATCTGTCAATTTTGCTGACACAAAAAACAAGATGTTTAATGAAAATTTCGGACGTGCTAGGAACGATTAAAAAATTTAAAAAAATACCCCTAAAATACTTTGATCTTTCCTCTTAATAATGACATGAACATTTAGACGATAAAGTTTTGTTTTCGTCAAGTTTGGCGTCTTTTTCATCATGCTATGCTCTTTTTTAGCGATCTCATGGAGGTACCCAGAGATATATATGTAACAGTAACAAATTTTATAAGTTGAATTTATAACAACGCTGGACAATAAAGTCAAGTACCTCGTTATTGAATAACAGAATTGACATTATTTAAATGCTTTATTCATCAATCAGACGTATGGACAAGTTTGTGTATTTTTGTTGAGGTCATGGAATGGCATTTTTTGCTTTCTTCATTCCATTTGTTTTGGTAGTCACTTTGTCTTTTTTCAACTGGATACGACAAAACAGATCTATTGTCACCAAATGCGATGGTAACAAAAAGCTTTTGCACTTAAATGACTACCCTATTATCGGCGCATCGTTAAGACTTATAGGCGACGGGAAAGGTACGTTTATTTCTCTGCTCTTTCTCTGTCTGATTTTTCACAATAATATGCTATTATTACAACTTTTAATAATCAATTAAATCGATAAATTTTAAGTATTCAAACAACAATTTGATTCTAGATCCTATAATCACCTAACGTCTATATTGTTAATAATAAATTTTAATTTGTTAACACCTTTTATAAAATAGATTCATATCGAAAATATTTAACTCACATTTCAGAATTTCCTCCAAATATCATAATTACATATATTTGATAGGATAACTCTACCAATAATTAAGATTTCATAAATTTGTAATAAATGCACAAACATATTTCTTTTGAATTTGGCCAAAGAGGAAACAGAGATAAAATACTACTAATATTTGATTTAACATTGAATAATACTTACTTATTATTCTTTGCTGAAATGATATCGAAAATATTTTTACGAGAATATATTTTCCGGCAAATATAACAATTAAATATGGCGTGTTAGAACAACTATTCCCCCTCCCAATAATGATGATTTCACTAATTAAATGTGCAAAAAAGAACCTCGTTCTGAACTGTGCCAGACAGGAATCATTGATGAAATTCGAGTAACATTTGATGTTAACAACCATTTATTTTTCCCACCTTATTGCTTCTGGATTTTGTAGTCGTTCATATATGGATTTTACGTTTCGCTTCAAAAACTGCTGCTTTATTTTTTAATTAATACGATATATGAATGCACTAGCTACATTTTTAAACTCAATGTGATATATTCAGTTTTACGCATTTTAAGACAAATTTTACGCATGATTATCTGTTAAAAACATGGACGGTGGACATAGTTTTAGTAGTATATTACTTTTTGAAAATTTCACTGTTTTTGAAGCTTTGCAGGTCAACTCAAACGAATTTTACTTAACCGTTACTAGTATATTTTTAGCTATCATTTTGCTCGCCACAAATAAAAGTTATAAGATTTTTCCATATTTTTACTTGTGATTTCTTTCCAGTTGTGTTTATATTTTTAGTTGAAGAAATAGCCACCATAATGCTATAAACATTAAAATTTCGACACCGCTTATTAAATCTTCTGAATCCTAACAAAATACACAAATGCGGGGTTGTTTGCATTTATGGAAATAGATTTTTAAAAAAATGTGGAAAAACTTGAAATCTTTTGTTGACTCAATATTTAAATTTAATATAACAAAAGAGTGACGATTTTCAAATTATTTATGATTCAGTCGTTAAAATCTATGACTTCTTATTGAGATCAAAGATTTCATTTTGGGCCATATTATTATGTTATTATTATGGAGGTTAAACTTCACCCAGTTGTCGCTTTTTCGTCATGAAAGCGATTAGGTGTAAGGTTGTTGTCAAGTTAAAGTAACATAAGAGGTATATTGTTCTTATGAATGTTCTTAAGCCTGATTTTATTTACGGGGAAAGTTGATAAATTCGTAAATAAAGTGATATTTTATTATTTATTGATTTAAACTGAATTCATAAATCTTCACAGATTCTACTAATTATTTTGTGTAATACATCTATTGATAATTTTAGGGAACACTTAGTTTTTTTTGTTTTTGTTTTTATCTCAGAAGTGTATGCGGAATTGTTGAGACTTGCAGAGACGTACCAGAATTATGCAATGTTTGTATTCCACATGGGAATGGTACCCTGGTTAATGATTTTTAAGGCTGACTATATACAGGTAAACAATAAATATTGGCTAAAGTAAAATTTTCTTTTAATATCTTAAACTTTTGTAATTATTTACATTATTTACACTATTTATATTCGGACTATTGCCCCCATCTTTGTTGTTTTTATCACAATGAAGGGAACATCGAAAAGAGAAATTACAGTGAGAGGTGAGACAATGAAATTGAGCATGGCTGATCACCTACGGAGAGAAAGGAGTAGTCATCAGACCCTGTGAAATGAAGTGAAAATACTGGACAGGGAAGAACACTGGAGAGTTAGACGTCTAAAAGAATGCTAAGCTATGAGGACCTCCTTAGTAGGCCTAGCATAGAAATATATACAATATGAGAGTCGCTGGTGAATGAAAAACGACACCAAGTCTTCAACCGCAGCAAAAATAAACAAAATATGAACAGCAGCAGTCAAAACATGACAGCCGGCAGCAGTAGCATCAGTAGTGGTAGTAGCACTGGTAGTAGCAGTCTAATCAGCAACGAAGGTTTGGTTTAAAGCGCGATATTGGATAAAAACGTTTTGGATTTCTTTATTTTCCATAATTTTAACATGAGTTTACATGGAAGGTAGTCTCCCCCACAGACGACACTTGATTAGATGTTAGTATGTAGAACTTTATTCTAGAGTCTTTTACGTCCAGGGTAAAACGATAAACTATATCCGGCCGCAATGCTTCTAATCGCCGGTTTTGAGAAGCGTGGAACCACCTCTTAATTGCTGGTGTTCCCAGGTCCATTCTGACCTGGAGTGGTAGCACCTGTTAGGATCCCAGCTATGGGCAAATAGTGACACCCAAACTGGAGTCAAAACACTATCAAAGTGTAGAAATACATTTTTATAGTGAAGATGCCAGCAATACATTTTTGTAAGAAAAAGAAAAAAATATTGGTAGCAATATATTTTTGTAAACGAAATTACTAATACTCCCAAGAAAATAAAATTTCCACATTAATGACCCATAAGGAGTCGATATGCCGTTAAACGAACAAAACAAACGTGCATCTTTTAATAACAATAAATAATGATTCCATTGTAGAAAATTCTCAGCAGTAGCAAGCATTTGGACAAAAATATGGGTTACGAATTTTTACATCCATGGTTGCGATTTGGTCTTCTTACAAGGTAAACATTACAAATAACATATTTATATAATTCATGTAAGAAAGGAAGTTTTATGATGGTTTAACTAAATGAATTTGGTATATAATTAAATGTGATTTTATTATATGAGGAAAAGTGTTTTCTCGCGATATATATATATATATATATATATATATATATATATATATATGTATATTGATGCATGTTTCATTAAATAATGTAGACGAGTTTTGTCTATTTATTTTATGTAAATTCTTTTCATATCGTCTGATAAGCTTAATAGCATTATCATTAAAAGAAGAAAGAAAATCACAATATTGGTACATATTTTTTTTTTATCCTATCTAAGCTTTCGGCTTATATAAGCCATTATCAAAGATGACAATTATAATTCAATATTTTAAGCAGGACACGGACAAAACAATAATAATAGTCTGTTTTTGTTTACATTGAAGATTTCTAAGCAACGACAAATTCATGTGTACGTCAATCTGCGGTGCGATTTTCGTTTCCACCGTCTCATATGCACGATATATATATATATATATATATATATATATATATATATATATATATATATATCATGAAAATATATATATATAAAACCATTTATTTTATCTTCAACATCATCATTGATAAGACACCGAGGGTTTGAAACAAAATAGCTATTTTGTAGTAATTTTATAACATATTTATGATATAATTTTTTTATAAATAATAATTATATATATATATATATATATATATATATATATATATATATATATATATATATTCATATTCTTATTACTATCAACTTTTATTACTAGCCACGTGTGTTTAAGTAGACATCCCTGATTATTTTTTTAAACAGTGAATGTAATATCTAATGGCCTTTGAAAGAATTATTTAAAATGTGTCTTCCGACCAAAATCGAACAAGCATTCATTTTATAACTTATGAAACAACGTTCGAAACAGGTGAGCTCTTTACCATAAAGCTGCACGAACTGAGGACAGTAAAGTAACGCTCAATTATACTATTTAACAAATGCACATCTCGCGTTGTAATAATTTTAAGATCCATTAATTTCTTAAATATCATTTTATTTTTCGGGTACGAAAATAAAGTTAGCAGATAGATATTTTTAAATGTTCTAACGAGAAATACGTATAGGGCTTTCGATATTTTCCTTTTTTAAATTCATATTATATAACTTAACTTGAACATATTAAAAAGGAATATTTTTAGTTGTTTTGTTTGTAATTGTCTGATGTTTTTGTTTTTAGTACTGGGGAAAAATGGGCAAAACGGAGAAAGATGTTGACACCTTCCTTTCATTATAACATTCTGAATGATTTTATAGTGATATTCAATGAGCAAGCATTAATCATGTGTGAGAAATTAGAAAAACATATTGGACAAAGAGAGATTAATATCTCTCCGTATATCACGCTTTGTGCTTTGGATATCATTTGTGGTAAGACATTCTTTTCATTTTGATGAAAAAACTGTATTTTACATTGTGACTGAATCACAGTAATTTAAAATTTTCAAGCTTTTAATACTCGTTCCCTGTTTTCTTTACAGAAACAGCCATGGGGAAACATCTAAATACACAGAATGACACCCATTCTCAATATGTAAAAGCGTTACACCAGTAAGTTTCAGCCATATCATCACGAAAATCGCAAAGAGAGAAAGAATACTGTTAACAATAATGCTAAATATTACCTTACAAATATAGAGTTTGTTATAGACAAGCGTATGGTTGCAAGGAAGAAATACGACAACAGTAGAAATAGATTTACGTGGTTTATTTCAACAGGAACGTGAGGGTTTGGGATCTCTGGTCGATCTCTCATAGTAGTTCACACATGTTGACGGTGGTTGACGCTCCCCTGCTGTCAGCAGCTGGACGTGACAGGTCTCTATCCTGGGTACCTGTGGACTGCCGTTGAACTTCCGTGTGACCCCTTTTATAGCGATTTTTTTGGCTTAACAGGCTCGAGAAATGAAGCGAGTATAATTAGAAGGGAAGCATTTTTATTGGACGAAAAATAGAGCACTTTAAGTATTATTTTATTTTTCGACCGGAACACGTGTGTCGGAAACATTTGTAAAGAAAGTTAATGGTCATTTTGTGACGGGGCTTTGTCCCGTTCACATCCGGTTCTCGCTCTTGAGTATTTGCCTGTAAATCAGCCGAGATGTGTCTTATTTTATTTTATAACAAGGCTCCCCCAGATCTCGGTCTCATTTACAGTGAGCGTTATTCATGTATATTTGGGTGATTAATTCATGATAAAGTCTCTGAAGCGTGTAGGAAGTTGTCCTCGTGTTCTTCTTATTGGCATCTGTTTTGGTATGGGGTTATTTGCTGAGTTATGTGTCCCCGAGGGATGTAGAGGAGAATGATCCTGGTGACTGTTACATGGTGGAGGCAGAGGGATTGTGTTAGAAAGATGTGTTGGGCGTGGAGCCAGTCGTCGGATATGTGCACGGTGAATCCAGATTGTATCACCATCATCGTTTTGCACCTGACACATCATATTGTTCGTTTTTATAATGGTGTAATTTCCTATCAAAGGCAGATGAGAGATTGGGCAACAGTTGAGTGTGGCCGATGAAAAAACATTGTCGCCTACTTGTATTGGGTCCTTGTATGTGAGGCGATTTAAGTTAGTCTCAATTTTGTGGTCAGCTTCATCGTTGGCCAGGGTGACGTGGTGGTGAACCTGCTTTAGCAGGGCATTAATTTGCATTCCATATGCTCCAGGATCGTCGCTTGTGATTTCTTTTCTGTAATAGTGTAGGTAGGCCGATGTTGGGGTGACGGCCGGTAATGGCATAATGCGGGGAGACACCGGTGGCGCTGTTGGTCGTGGCATTCATAGACAGAAACGACAGATTCTAGAACGTCTGTCCATTCACAGTTCCTGTCTTCGCATAACATATAAAGTGCGTTCTTCATCGTGCGATGTTGTCTCTCGATATTTCCTGGAGCTTTGCGGGCGCCAAGGACAGTGAAGTTCTTGCGTGATTGACATCTGGTTACAGAATTGTCGATAGACTTCTCCAGTGAAGTGTGTTGCCTCGATCAGAGGATACTATGCGTGGAATCTCTCTGTGTCGAAGGAAGAAATGGTACAATCCGCGGGCGGCGTCGATAGCACGGTTTCTCGCGCATGGTATGGCTGTAAAATGTCGACTGAAGCTATCCAAGATGGTTAGGATGTAGCGTTTTTCCCTTTGAGTTGGGCATTGTGACAAAGTCTATAAAGACGAGATCGAATGGTCTCTTTCCTCGTTTGCAGTGGCCAATGGGTCAGTGGGTACGTCTACCGTAGTTGCCCTTGCACTTAGCACACGTGTCGCAAGAATCGACATGGGCCTTGATGTCGCGGTTTTTTGAATTCCACCAGTAGCTGGAAAGGAGTTCTCGCATACGGGTGACACCTGAGTGGTTGTTGCCCTCGTGTGCCTGGTAGAGGTATCTGGGTCGTAGTTTGTATGGTACAACCAATCTCGGAGAGTGTTTACTGTCTCTTATCATCAAAACGGAGGTGCCTAGTTCTAGAAAAAATTGGTGGAAATGTTTTTTGAAAAGCGTAGCTCGGTGGTCGTCAGGATCGATATGAGGTTCGCTTGGGGTGGGTGATTGGAGGGCGCTGATGATTTTTGCCAGGGCGTCGTCCTTCAGTTGTTCATCTGCGATGCCGAGGTGGTTGCAGATTCTCTCAGTGGGGATGGTGGTGGTGGAGTGATAGGCGAAGAATGCGTTGGTGACGCGCTTGTGGGTGCGGGCGTTTTGTGGTGTGTGAGTTTTGGGAATGAGCTGTAAACCGTTAAACTCGCCGAGGCACCAAGATGGGATGTATACGCGGACGTCTGAACCGCTTACCTCGAATGTCTTGCCTGCCGGTGTAGGGTCGTTCGGGGCTTCCGTTTTCTTATGTCCGCAGCCTCTGCTGAGCATGTCAGCCCATACATTTGATTCGCCTTCAACATATTCCAAGACGAATTTATAACATGAAATTTCTTCTGGCCATCGTCGTATTTTGGCATTATTGAACTCTCGTTGGTCCAGATATGTCAGCGATCTGTGGTCGGTGAAGATGACGAAGGGGCGGTTGCGAAGGAAATAATCAAATTTCAATATTGCCCACTTTATTGCATATGCCTCTCGTTCCGTCGTAGACCAGTTCTGTTCTGTGGAGTTGAATGCATGGGAAGCGACCGCTATGATATCTTTCTTCCCGTTGTCGGCTTCTTGCATTAAGATTGCTCCACATGCGACGTCACTTGCGTCGGTGGTGAGTGTGAAAAGTTTGGAGAAATCCGGAAACGAGATGACGGGTGGCGAAGAGAGACGGTCCTTGATTTTTTTGAAGGCTCTGTCGGCATTTTGTGTCCGGACAAACGGTTTATTAACCTTGTTGAGTTCGTGTATGGGGATGGGTCGGATGAATGTGCCTAAGATATGCCGATGGCACAATGTTGATAGCAGATTATAGAAAGAAAACTGCAATAATTCCTACAGAAAGTAGTGAAAGAAAGGACTAAACATCAATTGCAAGAAGACCAAATGCAAAGGAACAGCCCAACATACACATTTTCTATTGGAGGTACTGAAATCAAGCAAGTACAACAATTTAAATATCTGTGAAGTGTTTTAACAGATGACGGAAAGTGTGACACTGAAATCAGAAGGCGCATTGGGATAGCGAAAGGTGCTTTCCAAAAGCTAAGCAAAGTCTTAAAACATAAAAAAATATTGTTAGAAATAAAGAAAGGAGTACTGGACTAATAATAGCAGTCCTCCTATATGGTAGTGAATGGTGGACAATGTCCTTACAGATGAAGAAGAAACTTGAAGCAACAGAAATGTAGTTCCAAAGAAGGATGCTGAAAATACCATTGATCGAATATGTGAGCAACGAGAAAGTTTTAGAGAAATTGGAAACAAAAAAGTACACTTATATTTAACATCAGGAAGAGACATGAAAATTTTAGGGTACATGAGAAAAGAGAACTTGTAAAACTTGATACTTATAAGACAGATTGAAGGCAAGTGGGGAGCAGAGGGAAACAATGAGCTTGAGTAAATTGATGTTTAAGAATGATAACAAAAATACAAAAGGCAGGAAGTCGTAGAGTCATGATCGCTAACATCCTGAAAGGAGAATCTTTAAAAAAGTTTTGTCTCATTTTTTGTGGATCGATTCGTTAGGAACGTTTGATTATTCCGTCAAGGAAATGAATAAAATGTTTTAGATTTCAGAATTGTTTCAATTATTGTCTAAACGAGTGTTGCCTTTAAATTATTCGTTAGATTTGACATCTAGATTTGAAATTGTCTTATTGAAATAATAACCAGTAGATAACGTGCTTCTAAAATCCAGTTTCAAAAGGTTTCCTAAAAGGTTCTGTCATTATTTCTACCCAATGTTTATAGAGCTATGGAAGAATAGTTAGTTGGATAAGCTCTGGATTATCGTTAATTTACCCTTTAAACATTCAAGGATTATAAGCCACTATTTTGTGACAAAAGTGACTTCGCCATGTTGCCATTTTTATTGATGTGTAAAACTTGTGTATTTTTTTTTCATTTATTCCAGTCGGGTTCATTACATTCACTTACGTACTAATACCCTTGGGAAAGGTATGAATCCATCTCTGGGTGAAATAGCAGAACAGACTGGATCCTATAGCCTTGGGTGGCAACCAGTCTAAAAGAAGAAAACTCTGAATTCAAAGACGGATGGCACTAATCCTAAAAGTGTGTATTGGATTCACAAGTTGCGGACTGTTTGTGAATCTAAATTCCGACTGAAACTCCTACTATTAGTAAGTCCTTCGATGTAGCGTTAAAGGGAGCCTAATGTTCTATAATGAACGAGAGAAACTAACTAATACTAACTATTCGTTTAGTAAAAATTCATAGTATCTACACTAGGAATTCTTTTTCTGAATTAATAAAGATGAAGTTTTCACGGAAAGAAGCGGACTTTTAAAAATACCAGTTTTAATTCTTATTGGCAATTATTTCTTTTGTTTTATGAACAAGTCTCTAGCCTCTTTGTCGACAGACTTATTGTCAACGATTATATTTTCTATTTCAGTGTTTGTGAGATCATAGTGCAGCGACAAAAATCCCCATGGGTGTGGCCGAATTTTCTTTTCTATCTTTTTGGAGATGGTCGTAAATTCAAAGAGTGCCTCAAAAAGATTTTACAAAAAGTGTAAATATTGGAAAAGATACAATGATCATGCTAAAGATTATTGCTTTTTTTTTTTGAAAATGGAAAAATTTCTGAAGATGTGATTCATATGGATTCATATGAGCTCTGACTCTAATCACTCATTATTCACAATATCTTCATTAATTTTCACTTGAACAAATCTGATAAATATTAAATATAATTATTCAAATATTTTTTAATGTAGTCGATTTACGAAGTTTTGATTTCTTTGACCGATCCAAATGCCATTTGTTAATATCAAAATTATTTTTGCAATAAACGTCAGGTTTTTTAAAATATTATTCTTTCCTTTCTTCATAGTTTATTCTAATTGTTTCCGTATACTTAACTAACTTTAATTAGTTATTACTTTTGTTTGACAAACACAACTGGCGTGAAAGATGTTCCCAGATTTTTAGAAGTTGATATGGGATTTATATTAATTTCGCTTGTTATTTAAAAAATTTATTTCAATAGGTTATTGAAAACCGCCAAAAAGAATATAATGAAAACGAGGCAATGATAATGGAGGAAGAAGCAGACGATGCCGACGAATCAAATGTTTATATGAAGAAAAAAAGACGCACATTTTTAGACACGTTACTTTACAACTGGCATCGAGGTAAACTGACAACAGAAGAAATACAGGAAGAAGTTGATACATTCATGTTTGAGGTAAAAATTATGGAACATGATTACAAAATCACTTGATGAGAAAAAGCATAACAAAAGATTTTCTATAGAACATAATTATGTGGTGTAAGTTTTGCATGTTTTAATTAAATTTAAAATAACATAATTTTATTTCTTGAGAGGTATGTCAGTATAAATCTTGAAAGTAATAATTCGTACGATATTTAAATTAATTAGACTTCATTAATACAGAAGATTTATTAAAATTGTCTATACCTTTTAATTTGACAGAATTACAAAAAATATTTTAACTCTAAATAAAATTTTTATAATCTTATTAAAATATATTAAACAATGAAAAAGTATTCATTGTCTTTCGAAGCCCATAATGAAACGTTTTATGCTATAATGAAGAAATCGAATTTATATTTTGAACAATTTTCTAATTTGAAAGAAAGTCAGTCTTTTGTCTTTTATTTAAACACAGGGACATGATACAACATCAGTTGGTATGATGTGGGCGCTTTACATGATTGTTTCTCATCCTGAAGTTTACAAAAAAGTTAACAAGGAAATCGATGATGTTTTTGGTAAACAATTTTCTTTCGTTTTTTTGAAACATTTCCTTTGTTTCCTATTTAGAATTGGGTTTCCGGTTCTCTCTATAGTCTTTTCCTTCTCGTTCACTACCAATTGCCCCTTGCATCTTAGTGGCATTATCGCCTTGCTTGGGTTCATTGACTAACAAATAATTGTGAAATTGTTAAATAATTCTATCAAATAAATGAAACGAATTTCAACAAATTTTTTTTTTTCAAGGTGATTCCAACAGACCAGCCACACCAGAAGATCTGAAGAAATTGGATTATTTAGGGATGGCTATGAAGGTAAGAGTTTTTTCTGTTTTAGTTTTTCAGTTTAAAAACAGTAAAACCAAAGTTAAATCAGATGTTTATAGAATAACCATTCAGAATTTAAATTTATTCCGCTCTTTGATTTTTGATTAACGAAATGCCTCGTCTGAAATTACATAAATATTTAAAAGTTACGTAAATTAACTTGACAGAGATGCGTGCCGATTCGAGTTTAAATACGTGACTTTCTCTTCTTTACAAACGTTCGCTTTGTTGCTGACAGGTTCTCGGTCAGACTAAGAAAATTGTTAAGTGAAATTACTGAATCAATTCAAAAGAGAAAGAATATGTATTTCATCAATGTTCTTCATGCACGTACTTGTCTACTTTTTAAAGGAAAGCATGAGAATTTACCCAGCGGTGCCAATTATAGGAAGAAAAACAACCGAGGATCTTGAAATTGGTAAGAAAAACGTTTTTGATTCCATATTTTGAAATGATCCAATCTAGTTTGTTCAATACAAACCTATTTCTTCTTTCACTCAAAAATTGACTCATAAGTAGAATTTGATAATAAAAAAAAACACTTTTTAATATTAGTTATATTAGCGTGAATATGTAAACCCTCATTCAACGCTCATTAGTAAGGAGCTGGAATTGGTTTGAAGTTGTAAGAAAAACAATTGAGATTAAGAAAAAGTCGTAGATAAAAAACGAGTTAATGAATAACGATCCGTCTAATAATAAAATTCAATTTAATATTTGCCACTATTACTACTTTAGTATTGTGCTACCACTTTTCTATCAATGTCAGTTTTTGTGCAATTTTGTGCAAAAAGTGGATCACAGAGCCTTGATATTTTTCTCACTTTTCATTGGTTAGTTAATATCAAAATTATGTTCTCAACTACGTCATCGACCTAGTTTCTGACCTGACGAAAAAACAATTCCGCCCCAAACCTGCCTATGCCTTTCGGATCCTATCACGTGATTACGTTGATTATAAATACCAGCTACAAGTTCGTTCTTCCTCTCTTTTTGATTTCTCTCGCTTACTAAAATGTAGCTGTTTAAGATATCGCGTTCCGACTTTTTTCGGACGAACGCTATGTAAACATATTCACACACGAACGCATACATGCACGTACGGAAACTTAATTACAAACATTACGAAAATTAGAGAACATTACAAGCCTCAACATATTACAAATATTCAACTACAAGCAGCGGAAACTAATTAAACATTACGGAACATTCACTCTTCTGAAGCTAAAGGTTTATCAACATATTCACTGTTTTCCAGAATTCTTCCAACTCTCACACTGAACATTTTGAGCGGCAAGTTCATTCAACTTTCTATGAGCTCAGATAAAAAATATTTCCTTGGTAAAAACTTTAATTCCAGTCAAAGGGAAGTAACTTCTATTAATTATTAATTATGCTTGCATACCATTACATACATGAATATAAATGTTTTTGTTATAAAAACCGTTTTGTATTGTTTCATATTTTGTGGTATTTTGCGTAAATATAAATTCTAGAGGTCGCACCAACTAACAAACCCTCTACATCACTATCAATATTACTACGAGAAAATATAAAAACGACATCGCTAAGAAACAGGAACATTTCGTTAGAAATAAAGAAGAGTGCCGAATTGTTATGTAATATCGGTCATCCTATATGGTAATAAATGCTGAATAATCTCCACACAGATGAAGAAACTTCTTTGAGAATACTATGGACTAGACACTTGAGTAATGACGAGGTTTTAGGGAAAATGAAAAAAAAACAAAAAAAAAACAAGATACTCATACTTAGATGTTATGTTTCATTACCATTTGTGCATAGTGATGTGAACATTGTTTCCGAATTTCATAGGTGACATCATCCTGTCTATTTCCTGTTTGAATGAAACTATGCGTTATAGAACGTTGTTCCTCTTTAAACCTAGGGGAGCACATCATGACCCCTCGAATCTGTACTAAACGCCTTTTAAATATGCCATGCTATGCTTATAAAATCCTTAAGATATACAACTACCCAATGGTCACTGCAACGTGTGATTTTGAAGCTATTCTTATTGCACAAAATATGAGCAAAAAGAAGTACAGTATTTTTCTCGTGGAACTAAGCATAATATGAAATTATGAAAAACACGTTGAGTAAAACCTTAATCCCAAATATCTCGGACATATTAGGAGTAGAATATTAAAGTGATTGAAAAAAAAACCCATTGTAATTCAATTAATTTTATTTGTATTTTTTCAGACAACTTTATAATTCCCAAAAACCATTCCGTGACTTTGTTCATTGGTGGGCTACATAGAAACCCTGAGTATTTCTTAAACCTAACAGTTTACAACCCGGACCGATTCCTGGCTGAAAATACCAAAGCAAGACATTCTTATGCCTTCATACCGTTCTCGGCTGGTAAAAGGAACTGCATCGGTAAGACTCCTTATGCAAAAATATATATCAGAACAATGTTAGACAAAGTAGATGAATGACAAAGTGTAAAAATTCTGTGTTACGCGTTTCGCCCTATAGGATTTCATAATGTTTCTGTTAATGGAATTATGTGTAGGAAGTGGTGGGGGGGTTTAAAAATGCAAGCAAGAAAGATGAACATATATAAAATATATGAACATATATATATATATATATATATATATATATATATATATATATATATATATATAATGGGTAGGATCGTTAATTAATCTGAAACTTTTAAAACCATTTATTTTCTTTTCAACATCATCACTTGATATATATATATAATTATTGACAAAGTGTAAAGAAAACTTTTGTGTGAGGCGATTTGTCCTTTGTTACTTCATCTTATGTTGTTTACGTTAATGTAAATGAACAAGTACATGAAGGAGAAGGAGCTCTAACATTTGAAACTTTTAAATTTAATTTTTTTAATATGTTTGGATATATAGTGCAGTAAATTTCATTTCGTTGATTTTTTTTTGTTTATATTTTTATCCATTATGTTATTATTTCTCCCATTTCTTCGTTAAGACGAATCGAGTTCTCCGGTCACTAGCATGTTTGTCTAAAAAATAAATACGTCTAAATTCATATTCATCCCTGCCGTGCGCCAATGGCTTAGGGGTAGAATCTCCGATTGATACCAAATCTAGTCACACTGATGAGCTGATATATATATTTATATCTGTGTGTGGATACTATAGACACCGATGGAAGAATGACTATTTTTTCATTTTTACTGCATTGTTTATTAGAAATAAATTATATCAGCTATAATATCTTAGTTTAGATTTTACAAAGTTACTTCGCACGATATATGTTGTCTTTATGAAATACGAAATTATCAAGATAAGCAACTAGAATTTAAATAACAAATTTTACAAATCCTTCACATTTGCTTAATTTATTTTATTTGATCTGAGAGAAAGCAAAAGTTTTTACCCTGTAATCTAAGAAAATAACCAAACAATCTGAAATGTTTTCTTGGTCAGGCTGAGAATATTTCACTAGCTCTTCTGTATTTACCATCCTTTCTTTTCCTTAGTCAATAAATTTTTAAGCCGGATATTTTTGCAGTAATGTTTCTCATCAGCATTCATATATATATATATATATATATATATATATATATATATATATATATATATATATATATATATATATATATATATATATATATATATATATATATATATATATATAGGAATTGACCATATCTAATTTGTAAATTTTACAGGCCAGAAGTTTACCATGGCCGAAGAGAAGATTTTGTTGTCCTGGATATTCCGAAAATTTCAGGTTGAAACAACACAGGCAGAAAGTGACATTCACCCAGAAATAGGCTTGGTGTTACGACCCAAATATGGTATCAAAATTAAATTAACGAAACGCTAATGTTTCAGGATCAACCTTTTTCAGAATGACAAATTTTTCAAATCAGAAAACAATGTCCAAACAAAAATATTTATCTTATACGGAATTATATTATTTTATTACTTTTTTTATGGACTTTCTTTAATATTATCACCTTGGTATTCTTGAATGAATTCTACTTCGTCATACCTTATTTTTATAGTCTTTTTCAGAACGTTACAATTAAAGATGACTTGTTTCTTAACTCAGTAATAGACAACAATACAGCAATAGATCAATAAGAAAGAACGGAATATGAGAAACATGCTTTACTCTTGTTAACCATGAAAAAATGTTTGACTCCGTATAACACTTGGGGGCTTTTAACTCTCTACGAGTATGAGTATGGCAATAATGACATTTATAAATATTTTTGAGAATATATATACGATAATAGATACTGCAGTACTTCAACTACATAATACATTATCATATATTTTCTTTGCTGCATGCTTCGAAAGCATCTCCCGGAAAATGGACTAGGAAAGAAGAGGATTAAACAAAAACGAAAAACATTTTAAACGTTTAAAATTTGCACATATTTTACTAATATTAGAATTTTAGTGTTAATTAAAATATATACTAATTGACCTGAACAGAGAAAGTGTCAGGATAGGTTTTATAATTATAGAAAATTTTGAAAAATTACAAAAGCGTAAAATGAAAATTATTTTATCGATAAAATTGGAGTAACATTTAGCATAAACAAATAATTTTCATTGTCATCAGAAAACAATTATAATTTATTGTAAATAAACGTTTCTATTAAAATTACTTTCCAAAAATATTTCTTATTGCCATTTTCTCTCATATTTATATACAGT